CTTAGCCCAGGTAATGGCCGACCCTAGTGAATACCGATAGGAGGAAAGAGTACTTAGCCCAGGTAATGGCCGACCCTGGTGAATACCTATAGGAGGAAAGAGTACTTAGCCCAGGTAATGGCCGACCCTGGTGAATACCTATAGGACGAAAGAGTACTTAGCCCAGGGAATGGCCGACCCTAGTGAATACATGTACCTATAGGAAAAAAGAGTGCTTAGCAAAGGTAATGGCCGACCCTAGTGAATACCTATAGGAGAAAAGAGAGCTTAGCACAGGTAATGGACGACCCTAGTGAATACCTATAGGAGAAAAGAGTACTTAGCCCAGGTAATGGCCGGCCCTGGTGAATTCCTATAGGACGAAAGAGTACTTAGCCCAGGGAATGGCCGACCCTAGTGAATACCTATCGGAGAAAAGAGTGCTTAGCACAGATAATGGCCGACCCTAGTGAATACCTATAGTGGGAAAGAGTGCTTAGCACAGGTAATGGCCGACCCTAGTGAATACCTATAGTGGGAAAGAGTGCTTAGCCCAGGTAATGGCCAACCCTAGTGAATACATATAGGAGGAAAGAGTGCTTAGCCCAGGTAATGGCCAACCCTAGTGAATACATATAGGAGGAAAGAGTGCGTAGCCCTGAATACCTATAGTGGGAAAAAGTGCTTAGCCCAGGTAATGGCTGACTCTAGTGAATACCTATAGCGGGAAAGAGTGCTTAGCACAGATAATGGCCGACCCTAGTGAATACCGATAGGAGGAAAGAGTGCTTAGTAAAGGTAATGGTCGACACTGGTGAATACCTATAGTGGGAAAGAGTGATTAGCACAGGTAATGGCCGACCCTAGTGAATACCTATAGGAGGAAAGAGTGCTTAGCCCAGGTAATGGCCGACCCTGGTGAATACCTATAGTGGGAAAGAGTGCTTAGCAAAGGTAATGGCCGACACTATTAAATACCAATAGGGGGAGAGAGTGCTTAGCCTAGGTAATGGCCGACCCTAGTGAATACTGATAGGATGAAAGAGTGCTTAACAAAGGTAATGGCCGACCCTGGTAAATACCTATAGTGGGAAAGAGTGCTAAGCAAAGGTAATGGCCGACCCTATTAAATACCGATAGGGGGAGAGAGTGCTTAGCCCAGGTAATGGCCGACCCTAGTGAATACCTATAGGAGGAAAGAGTGCTTAGCCCAGGTAATGGCCGACCCTAGTGAATAC